TTTTTAAGGGCGCTGCACAGCGTTAGCACTGTTAGGTTTGCAAATGGCTATACATGATTCACAAGATAAACCCAGAGATTTCACATAGACATCTATAGTGTCAAAAATATTCTGACCTGTTGTGGTCTTTCTAAGTTCTTTGAAATAATAGAATTGTTCTATTATTTTTTCAGAAAAAAGTGAAAGCTAAGAGCTGGCATTTTCCAGGGGGTTCCTAGAGGCTAATGAGGAGTGTTTGGAGTCTAAAAGGTTCAGAATCACTGATTTAAGGGAAGGGAACATGGTGAGGGAAAAGGGATTTTACATTTCCTTTTGTCTTGAAACATTTTCAAGAGCAATTTGTGATTGAGCTGCCACTTCAACATCTCTGATACTTAAAACCAGTAATAATTAGGGCCCCAATTTAATTTTTTTTTACTATAAAATGGGTGCTGAAATAGTCTGTTGGACTACAAATTACTGCTGGTAAACCAAGATTACTCCAGGAGGTGGCAAAATGGGGTTTTAAGCATGAAGTTATAGATTTTTTTTTTTTTCTTTTTAAAGAATAATGTAATAAACTCAAAATAATTAATGGGTTGGTTTTACAGCCTTGTCTATGTTGTTGTTTTTTTTTTATTCTTGCAACATTTAATATCATTGTTTCTATTAAGATATAAGAAACCCTACAGAATAATTTATATACTTAAATGAGCAAGCGCTGTTATAATCAGAATAAATATTTGTGTTAGCAGGCTGCTAATGCACATCTCGTATTGAAGGCACACAGCTTTCTACCTCCCAAGGTCCTGAAGGAATGTACCAACAGCTTACTAATGAACCCCTTGAAAATAGTCAAAGCTCTATGCCATGAGAGGAATCTTATTGGATTTCAAGAGGCATATTTTGCTTCTTTAAGTATTGACTGGTTTTTTTTTGTTTTTTTTTTTTTTTTCCAGAATATCAGGATATTCAGGAACTCTCTGTATGTCTCAGTTGAAGGATATGACAAATTCTTGTTAAATATGTAGCAATGTGAGCCCTTTTTAAATAAGGAGTTGAAACAAAAGCCTTGGATGTTAGAAAATTTGTCAAATACATCCCTGCCGCTTTGCAAAGCATGTTTGATTTTAAAAAAGGAAAAGTTTGTGCCTTTTAGTAGTCCCTTTCTGCCTTATCTAATCAAATCCGAATACAGACACATATATCCGTAACAAATAATCCAACAGGATTTTATAGATTTGATAAAAATTCTCTGCAGGTATTCTCTTTTTCTTTACATCTTTGGGGGTTTTTTGGTGTTGTTTAGTGGTTTTTCAGGGAGTTTGTTTCAATTTCTTTGTTTCATTGTGTAACTTTTAACCCGGCTCAAACTGGATCAGTGTTGAATTAGCTTGTACTATGTTAGCCGTCAGGCACACTGGTGCGACAACAGACAGATGGGGAGTGTGGCTCCAGCCAGGCAGGAGGCGTGGCTCCAGCCCAAAATGCCATCCGGCTGGCTGCATGCCACACCCTCTCCCGCCTCCCCCCATCAGTGTCTGGATGGCTGCCACACACACGCACACTCTCTCTCTCTCTCTCTCTCCCCGGTGTGCCACAGTGCTTTTTTTATTTAGGTAAATGTGCTGTGGGGCAAAAATGGTTGGGAAAGGCTGCTATTAGAGTGTTCTACAACTATCAAAACCTCCACACCTGCTCATACAGCTTACTTTCTCGAATCTGTTAGTGGTGGCCAAAGACAAATGTTTGCTTCAGTGTATAAGAAAATGTTAGGCTGTATTTTGGACCCACTTTGGTAGAACGTGTGCTATAAAATTATTCATGAACTCTTCAAAAACGGCACTTCTAGGGAGAGCCCTCCTCCATGTCAAGTGAGCAGCTGTCTTCATGCCATACACAGGCCTGAAGTGTTGTGTGGGGATAAATGGAGGAGCAGAACTGTAAAACATATTAGCCTCTTCTTAGTCGCACCTCATTTTCATGTGAATAAGCTTGGTCCTGGCTTCTAGGCAATCTAAATGTTATGTCTCATAGCAAAATTTCCTGATTGGTAGAATAAGGCTGTTATATTAGCAGTGTTCTTGACATGGACAGTAGTTTTCAAAAACATGTCCACATAAATACCCAGATTATAGATTCATAGGCACTAGGGCTGGAAGGGACCTCGTAAGATCATTGGGTCCAGCCCCCTGCCCAAGGGGCACAAAGTTAGCTGGGGTCAAAGGATCCCAGCAAGATAAGCACCCAAATGTTCCTTAAAAGTGACCAGAGTAGGTGCTTGCACCACCTCTGGGAGGAGTCTATTCCAGGCCTTGGGGGCTCGGGTAGTAAAGAAGTTTTTCCTTATGTCCAGCATAAATCGTCTTGTAAGAATTTATGACTGTTTGACCTTGTCATCCCTTGGGGTGCTCTGGTGAACAGGTGTTCCCCCAGATCCTGATGGATGCTCCTTATGCACTTACAGACTGTCACCAAGTCACCCCTGAGCCTGTGCTTTTCCAAGCTGAAGAGCCCCATGGCTCTCAGCCTCTCTTCGTAAGTCCTGTTCTCTAGCCCTCTGGTCATGCGTGCGGCTCTCCTCTGGACTCTTTCAAGCTTCTCCACATCCTTTCTGAATTGTGGAGCCCAGAATTGGATGCAGTACTCTAGCTGCGGCCCCACCAGGGCCGAGTACAATAGGAGGATGATATCCTGGGTCTTGCTCGAGATGCATCGGTAGATGCGAGCCAGAGTTTTGTTGGATTTTCCAGCTGTGGTATCACAGTGGTGCTTCGTAATCATCTTGTGGTCAGTCATGACTCCCAAGCCCCTTTCAGCCATGGTGCTAGCAAGTATAGCACTGCTGAGCCTATAAGTGTGGTGTGGGTTTTTTCTCCCTAGGTGGAGCATCTTGCCTTTCTTTGCATCTTGCATTTCTTTGTATTGAATGCCATCAGGTTTTCATCCACCCACCTTGCAAGCCTATCAAGGTCAGCCTGAATCACCAGCCTATCCTCCAGTGTGGACACTCCTCCCCAAAGTTTGGTGTCGTCAGCAAGCTTGGCCAGTCCACTTCTGACACCAGAGTCCAGATCGTTTATAAAGATATTAAAGCGTACAGGTCTGAGAACAGAGCCTTGAGAAACACCAATGGTCACTGAGTGCCATGTTGATTCAATTCCATCAACTACCACTCTCTGGGTCTGACCTCAGAGCCAGTTTCCCCAGCTATTGGACTGTAAGGTAGTTGAGGCCTCAGCTGCTCAATTTTTCCAGGTGAAAGGCTTTTTTAAAGTCCAAATATATGATATCTACCTCTTCCCCTTTGTCCAGGTGATGTGCCACCTGGTCATAGAAGGAAATGAGATTGGTTAGGTAAGACCTACCCACAACAAACCCAAGCTGGCTGTCGCTCAGAAAGTTGCCTTCTTTTAGCTTATCAAGAATGGTTTCTTTGATAATTTTTTCTAAGATCTTTCCAGGAATTGAGGTCAAACTGATCGACCTGTCGTTTCCTGGATCTTCTTTTCTCCACAAAGTAGTCATTAAGCAGTTTGGCTTTTGCCCAAGTGTCGGTTGTCAGCTGTCCAGTGTTGCCCTTGTTTTTCTTCCGATGCTCCACATATTTGAAGAAGAACTTTTTATTGTCCTTGATTCGTGTAGCCAATTGGAGTTTGGTTGCAGCCTTGGCTTTCCTAGTCCACTCCCTACAGGTGCGGACCAGTGCAGCATATTCCTCCTTAGTGGCATTTCCTGTCTTCCATCCTTTATAAGCCTCTTTTTAGATGTAGGAGGTCCATGAGTTCCCTGCTGAGGCAAAGGGGTCACTGAGCCCTTTTACTACCTTTTCTATGAGTTGGGATGGACTCTCCATGAGCTTCTAGGATTGCTTCCTTTACTGCAACCACTCATCAACCACTCCCCTTCCTGTCAAGTCGCGGTTTCTCAGGGCCTTGCCAACAAGCCTTCTGAGCTTTTGAAAGTTGGCTTTCCCAAGGTTGAGAACTTTTGCATTGCTGACTGACTTGCCAGCTTTGTGATGCAATACATACACACACACACACACACACACACACACACACACAGAGCTCCTTTGAGATTTCTAAAGCTGCCTGGATTTGCAGTTGTCTTTAGAGTTGTTTTTATTAGTAACAAAAGATCCTAAAAACTTTTAAGTACTTGGTAACAGAGGCCTGCCCTGACTTCTGCCTTCTGAAAATGGAGAAGGGCCATCCTTATAGGCTATCCTTTTAGCCTCCTGGCAGTTTCCAAGGGAAGAACTTCCCTTATGCCCATGACCCTGAACTTGCCTACCTAGAGCCTTAACCATCCCTTTACTTCCAGCAGCAGTCTTTGCCCAGTAGCATAACAAAAGGGGAAGCAACCAGAGCAGTAGCTCTGGGCATCACCTTTGTAGGAGGATGTGAAAATAGCTACCATTACAGTGGTGGCTGATTGCACTGTCACAGTCAGGATGGCAGCAATCCCATGTGCCCAGCAAATCGTGGCTGCATCAGGCACAGAGGTGCCCTGCTACACCTGTGGTCTTACCATGTTCAATCTGCTTATCTGTGCCATTTTGTGACCCAGGTGCCCAAAACGCTCCGTCCCAAAGGGCCAGGCTTTGGGAGCAAGGCATAGCAATATAAAGTACATATGCCTAAAAACCAGGAACCTGTTTTACTACGTTTTGCCAAACCAAATGTGCTTCTGTATTGACAGCTCCAATTACATCCTGGCTGATGCGATTAGGTGAAAATCTCAGCTTTCAGTCTAAAAGTAAGTGGTAAGCCCTGGTTGGGTTGTAGAGGGGTCAGGAAAGCTTGAAAACAAGACTCAAGTGTATTCTAATTACTAAAAAGTTAGACTTTTAGACTTCTTTATTTTAAAACTCATGATTTTTTAAATTAGTGTCATGATCTGGGGGCAGGCTTATTTTGAATGTTTGCAGTTGGCTATGTGGGATGTGTGAGTCGCTATGAAAGGGGCGTGTACAATTCTTGTAAAAAAACGTGTTCATGTTATAATTTTGATTTTAGGAAGAATTGAAGAGCAGTCTTGGACAGCAGCTGTCGCCCGATCGTTACATCTTGTGTGGCCAGCAGTAAAGGGACTACTAATGTTAGGCATGTCTTGTCTCATTGCTGCGCTCTGGTATTGCAGAAGACTCTACACATACTTAGCACAGCTGTTGAAATGGTATGTGTTTACAATGCCATCTGTAGTTTTCTGTGGTATATTGTTTCAGTAAATATTTACTTTCTGCAAACAATTCATAGATGACTTTTACTATTTGGTTTTCAGGTGGAGTAGATATCTGCAGAAAAAATTCATAAGTAAGTTCTTCTGTTATCAATTCATATTATTTCTCTTTTCCTTTAAATCTAAGAATGCCAAAATTAACTAATATGTGACTTAAATCTGGTTTAGAGAACCTCAGCGTAATGGCAGAAGTTGATCTACTTGGTTATTGTGCAAGAGAATGGAAGGGAGAAACAAAGCAAGCCATACAGATGAGGAAGGTAAGATTTAAACTTGTATCTAAGTATCAAATTGGTGGGAGTGGGGATGAAATTCTATCCTGTTTTTTATGCAAGCGTTTGTTACAAGCTGTAGATGAGTGTCAGTTCATCTCTAACTGCTTAAAAAAAGAAAAATGGGCAGCTCTTCCTATGGCAATGGTTCTAAATAACAAACAAGAGCTAAGTGTTGCTCGCAATATGGACCAGGTCCTCACTCCTGATGAGTGATTCCTCATCTCTTTCCCACTGCTTCTCCAGCACAAAGTGGGCAGAGAGTAATTGTGAGTGGGAGCTGGAGATGGCCTAGTGATGGGGAAATTAATGGTCGTTGTACAGCTGAAAAACATGTCCTAAGACACCTTGGCTAAGTAGAGACAGTCAAAAAGCCCAAGGCTGAATTGATTCAATCTTCTCAAGTTAGTCTAAACTGCATAAATTGAACCAACAAGCAAGTGAACAGACAGTCACTTCCGATTCTGGAAATGCAGCCACATGCCTGAAGTGGCCCAGGCCAAAACCCAAGGGGTGCTAGAGCACACTTCCCTTCTCTGTTGGAGCAGACTTGTGCCAAGGCTAGCCCATCTGCCCTGCAAGCAGGGGCTTGTGGGAGAGGTGCAAAGCATCCTGCGTTGCCGGTAGACTGTGAGTTAGCTTGAATCTGGAGGGGATCTAAGACAGAAGTCCAATAAGCTGATATAACCTAAATCAGTTAAGTCTGATACTACATCCATCCAGGCTTATCTTAAACTGGTTTTTGCCATTCTGAAAACACTTTCTGTGCACTGAACTTCTGTTGTGCTACAGATTTGAACATGTTTCTAATCACCAGGGATTCTGGTTTTCTGTTTTTAAAATGTCCATATTCTCTGATAAAAAATAAATAAATAAATCCCAAATTCTGTGATTAAAAAAACCTAAAACCCATGTTCTTCTGTGATTAAAATGAAACACCACTCTGTGTGTGTGTGTGTGTGTGTGTGTGTGTGTGTGTGTGTGTGTGTGTGTGTGTGTATCCATTTAACACAATGTTTTATAGTCATCAACAATTTTGAAGCGATTTGGAAGCCTACCAGTGCCTCAATCATTATAATAAAATAAATTCTAAATACCTATATGTAGTGGCATTTGATTTTGGTTTTTCTTATCATGGAAAATCAGAACTCCCCCTTGCCCCTTCGCTCACCAGGGGTGAGTGCAGCCACAGCTGTTCCCCTGTTGCTTTGAGGCACTGAGCAACCCTGATATGCCAGTGCCCTGCCCAAGCCGTTGTCCATCACTCCCAAGCCACAGCCCTCCATCTCTGCTAGTTCCCCTCACACCTGAACCACAGCTCCCTGGCCCTGCCAGAGCCCCTCACTCCTGACTGACAGGCCCCCTCCCACAGAGCCCTGCCAGTGCCCCTTACTTCCATCCTACAGTCCTGCACCCTGGCAGGCCATATTCCCAAGTGTGGCCCCTCGCTCACAAGCCATAGCCGCCAAGCCCTACTGATGCCTGTCACTCCTGACCCACAACCCCTTTCCCCACCCCCAGCCCTCCTGAAGGGGATCCTCAGATGCCCCATTCTGTCTCAGCTGGAGCTCAGTAGCTGTGGTGGCTCCAACTCATCTGGGTGGCAGTGGAGCAAGTCCAGCACCAGCACAGGCTGAAGGGAGGAGCAGGGAGGCCTGTGACACCCTCTTGACTGGGCTAGGACTCCTTCACCACACCAGGTGGCCTGACCATGCTCCACCACCCCTCCCCGCCCCTTGCCGGGGAGTGTGTCCCAGCCACCCTGCTCTGCCCCTACAAGCACAGGTGCCAGTCCCATGCTGCCAGGCCAGCCATGCAGCTCCCTACCGCAACCAAAGGCCCCACTTCTGCCCCTTTTCCCTGCTGGAGGGGCAGGTACATCCACACCCTGCGACATCCCTAGCACCCAGACACCTTCCCCCAGCAATGACAGGCACCCACCCTGCCTCACACACCCACCCATCCCCTTAACCCACCCCTGCCACACGTGTACAGCCCTGGCCCTCCAACCCCTGCCTCCCATAGGCTTATCTGTATCCAGCTGCCAGGGCTGCTCCACCACCTTGCCTGGGTGCGTGCCAACCATGTGCATGTCTGTGCACATGCATGTGGAACTCCCTGCCTAACAATTGCCCTCCCCTTAGCCCAAAGCAGCTCTTTGCAGGCTGGAAGGCTGCCAGCCTACAAGGGAAAACCTGCCATTTCCTAGTTTTCTCCTTTAAAGAGGAAAATCCATGTTTTTCTTTGCTCAAAGGAGAAAATCCATGTTTTTCCATAGCCAAGGGAAAATCTGGATCCCTGCTGATCACTTATACCAGTTAATGTGTAATTTCTGTCCTCAGCCCTTGTCCTTGGCTCCTTTTCAATTTTGGGGATGTTTTAGAAGGTGCATCATCAGAAGACTTTCTACCTGTGGTAACCTCTGACCTGCTGGTTGAGGTTAAAGCAGTATCTAGGTGATTTAATTTGCACTAGGGACTGACTTTGTCCCCAGGTTGGACGAGGGATCAGAGGAGCTTAATTGTCTCCTCCAGCTCTGGGTCCTGAGCTTACGCATGGCCTGGCCAGACTTTAGTGATCAGAATCTATCCTCAGTCAGCACAGTCACAGGCCCAGCAGCAACAAAAGTAGTAACAGAATTGCTTTCTAATTTCAAGGAAACCAATTTTAGCTGTAATATAAATTAATCTTCTTAATGCAGGAAAAAAAAAAATTGCAAATGAGTATATGCTCAAGCACCTTGGTTGACCATGACTTTCCCAGTGTATAATAGAAAGAGGTACTATCACAGGCCTCAAGCCAACTTGGCTTCAGATACTACTGCCAATATCTTGAGCGACATCCAAAAATAAAGCCCCAAAGGGCATCTTTTGTCCTTTCTTTTGATTCATCGCTGGACAAGTGAGAGAGATAATAACCTTCACGGTTACTGAAAATCTGCTCTGTAAGCATTGTTCTTAAGTTGACTTTAATAAAGTAAAAGTATTTTTTGTAGAGTAGAACAATACACACAAAAATAAACATACATACACACTTCCAGTAAAAATAATACAGTTCTTTCTTTACATAGCCAAAACTCTGGTTTGCTTCCCAAGCAGTCATTGGAATAATACTGTTACAGTTGATCTTAATTCATATATTAAAACTGCACTGAAAAAGCCTCCTTTTGAAGAACATGGATTTAGTTTCATTGCAGTCATTTAATTTTAGTGGTGTTTCTGAGAAAATAAAAGATAAAATCAGACCAAAAATAGTATACGTGGGTTCTTTCAGTAAATGAAATGCTAAAACACAGCTTTGTGGATTGTCATCATATCCTTAACTCATTGCATGAAGGTTTTGTGCATGTATTTTACTTTGATAGATTTTCATATGCCTTAACTCTAACTTTCCTGAGGAAATCCTTCGGGTTGTGGGTTACTTCCTATAATTTTAATATGACTAATACTTAATGGCGTGATACTGAGGGAAAGCTTGTGTTCCTTTAATCTTTTGCATGTTGCATACACATGCATTCTCAGGAACGCGAGTTCTGTACCATTATTTAGGGATGTATAAGAGTGCCCTTTTCATCCAACTCTGTTAGGAAAGCTGAGGGGGAATCTTGCTACACAGGTATGCTGCGAGTTCCTAAGGACATTTGCTGTTTTACTGGTATTTAGAAGGTTCATTTCAGGGGGTTCCTTTGTGTTGCTATCTAATAGTACAATCCAGAATGCTGGAACACCAGAAATTTTAAAGGAGCCTCATCCTGGCCTGTGGTTTAGCTGTTGTACCCAATTGCAGGTATAATAAATAGAACAGAGGTCCTGGCCTACATGTTTTATAGGCAAATTTTAGAAATTTAAAATCAATTTGAGAAGTTGGTCATATAAAAGGTCATGTGGAATTAGCTTATAAATAACTACTGAGGTGAAGACAACAAATGCATTCATTGTTCTCCATTTTAACTGGTATGGAGAACAATGGGCATTAGGAACAACCATAAAGAAAGGACAGAACACTTTGTGAGGATCACTGAGTAAAAAATAAGTTTTGGGGTCGTCATTCATAACTGAATCATTTTGTGATGAAGAATTAATGTAGAATTTCAGTGGCCTGGTTCTTGTAACTGAACAGCTCCATCTGCTGTATGTTTCTGTGTACATAAATGGAGAAGAGTAAGCAAGCAAAAACTGAATGTTTGGATTCAAAATTCCTTTTTTGCCATTACTATTCACATTAAAAAGTCTAACCTGAAATTTTAATCTTGGTGGTAAACTAAAAATTGTCAAACCATCAATTTCAAGATGAAGATATGGTTGATGTAAACAACATTTTTAATTTAAGTATGTGTTGAATTACAAATGTACATGTGAACAGAGGTGGCAAAAGCAAATAGAGGGGAGGCTCCTGGTGAAGTGGGGGGGAACCAGAATGTGAAAATGGATGCCATCTTGAGAGAACAATGATTATTAAATGAGGGAATTCAGGATCCTTAGGAAAATAGCTTGGAGTACAATAGAGTTAAGATAATGGTTTCCAGAAACCAGATTTCAGTATATTCAGACAAATAGTTGGTAACATTCCAGAGGAAACATCTAAATGAAAAAAAGATTTCAGGAGCTCTCCAGTTAGGTTAACGGCAATAAGCTGCTGGAAAGAACAAAACCTTTTACTACTTATAGCATTATGAAAGTCTTGAAATTAGATATCTGGCTAATGTCACAACAGTTTGTCCCTGGATTTAAGATATGCATTTCTCACTGTTGTTTTGGTCATATTTTAGGTTTATGAAGAGCTATTTTGGAGACATCATATTAAATATATACGACAAGTCAGAGGAGATCACTACTGTGCATTAAGAGCTGTTCTCTTTTGGGTATTCAGCCAGGGCATTTCTTTTCCCTCATGGATGAAGGAGAGAGACATTTTGAAGGTAAACTTTTGTTTCCAAATTATGCAAAATGGAAATGACTCTGTACTTGAAGTAGGACCAGTTGATCTAGCAATTTCTTCTGTTATGCTGTTGTAACCCTAATACAAATTACTTTTCAATTGAAAAGGAGCATTGACTGCAGGGGAGAACATGAAAGGTTATGTACCATAAACTGTTATCCCACTGAGTGAAAGCAAGTCCCTTGTGTTCTCTTATTTTCAAGAGAAAAAGAACAAATGAAGTGTAGATTGTGTCTGAGGAAGCTTAAGTTATATGCCACTACTACTTATGCTATTAAGGCCCTTTGGTGCATGCTCTTGCTTTAAGCCCTATTCCTGCTACTAGAGTTATTGACTGTGTGGTGGTTTCACACAGACACTTACAGTCAGGGATCAGGGTCCCCTTATGATAAGCATTGCATTCACACAACAAAGATGTTCTCAGCTCACAAAAGATTTACAGGTTTAAGTTTCTTGGTATAAGATACTTAAGAGATAAGTAGGAGATGCATTTGACCATGTGCTGTGGGTTTAATCAGTTAGAGTTCTCTTTCCTGCTGCCACTGCTTCTATCTTTCACTTACATGTACAGTTTTTCACACCTGCACATGTCAAGATCAAGGCCAGATTGTTTTAGAGATGGATTTTATGGTACAGTAAAATCTTTGTTATCCAGCATTTAAGTAACCAGAAATTCTATTAACTGGAATTTCCAACTGGCTGGCCAGTATTTAGGCATGTCACTCCCAATAAAATGTCTAGGAGTGAGGTGCCTTAAGTATCTTATAAGTCTAGTCTTTTTAATAGCTCAGGGACTTGCAGTCCTGAAGCCTGTTGTTGTTCTATACCATGTGGTTCAATTTAAATTCTTTTTTTAGTGCAGGTACCATATGGATGTAATTGCATTGATTGACAAGTATTGTATTTACTCAAATATAAGACAACCCTGAATATAAGATAACCCCCCTGTGGCAGAAGGCTACCTCTGTTTCTCCCCAAAAACTCTGTTCTGTGACAATTTGGTTAGGATGGGCCCAGCAGAGGATACACACCTTACCGTATCTCTTTAAGTAACCTGAGCTGGATACATTCCTGAGGGAGGGGGGGAAACCTGCTCCCTCTGCCTACGTGACTGGCATCACATACCTGGGTGAGGGGCCTGGGCATCCTGATGAGCTAGAGACTGCCAGCCTGCCTAGCAACTAGTGATGCATTTCAAATTGGTTGGCTGACAGGCAACAGGTGCTAGCCTCCATTGGACAAGGTAAATGAGGTCATAAGGGCTATATAAGTTAAGGACTGCCCAGGAGAAGGGGGCAGCAGCCATGAGGAAGACTCAGAGAGAGAGAGAGAGAGAGAGAAGAGCTGGACCATCTGAAACTTGCTCTCTCTCTCAAAACTCATGATCAAGGAACTGCTTGCTTCCAGAGGGAATCTCCAACAGCCTCTGGATGATACTTGTGAGTAAGCTACCTGAGATCTAACTAGATATATAGCTTGCGGTAACTCAGTTGCATGATTAAATGCTACCCCAGACACCCTGTTTGCTCTATGGGATTTCTCTGATACTACTCAACTCTGTACCCTATTCCAACCCTACCCCTTGTAACCAATAAAGTTCTTCTTTGTACCTAGCGTGGGAGACTTATTGGGAGTGGGTCTAGATTATGCCTTGGTGTCCCCTTGGTTCGGCTGACTAAGGGAGACCGGTACTTGTGCTTCCGACTGAGGGAAGCACCCCAAGTTCTTGAAGTGAGTCAGCCCTTGAGGGCTACTAAGCCTGTGTTTCCCAGGGGACACAGAGCCAGAATTAAGCCCATCCTTGGATGGTGACAGTTTTACCCCCAGGCTGGCGGGTGTGCTTCAGGAAGGGGGTTGGCCAGATGTGAGGCACCTCCCAGGGAGGCACTTGGAGCCTGGAAGGTGGTCGGGTGCAATGAGTTTCCCCCTACTGGCCCACCACACCCCACAATAGTTAGTTTCTATATATGTAAAATTTATAAATTTGTTGTTATTTTTGAGGTACAGAACCTAATTATTGGAGGCTTGTCCCCTTCCCACTGCTACAACAGGAAAAATAAATCTGCAAGGGTCTGTTAGACCCCATTTTTCTCCACCCCACCATCTTCTTACCGCTGTAGCCCCTTCCCTCCCCGCCTTACTGTTAGACCTTACTCTCCTTGAACACGTGGAAATGAGAGAGAAATTTTGAAAATGCTGACCTTGAAATAAACATACCAATAATAATTTTCATATAGGAAAATTACTACTGGTTGCCATAGACTTAGCTCATCCAAAATCAGTGCATTTTACCTTTTTTTTTTATACTGCTTTTAGCACAGGTACTCCATAAACACGCTTTCAAGCAGCATTTTTGTACCTACTTGTACATGTACAAACTATGCTTTTTTTTATATATAATTCCTAGGGCTGTCCATTAATCGCCATTAATGTGCATGATTAATGCTTTAATTTGTTCTTGGGTTAACTTTTTTTTTAACACGTTAATTGCTCATGTGGTTTTGGAACTTGCACCCAGACTCCACTTTGCCACTGTCACCACTGCCTTCAGGCCACCCAGTGGGGCAGCGGTGGCAGTGCAGAGGACCACAAGGCAGTCCGTGTGCAGGCTGTGGACTGCTACAGCAAGAAGGTGCGGGGGAGTGTGCATAGCTACAGAGACACACAGCCTCAGCATGCATGTGGCCAGAAACACAGCCCAGTGAGCATCACCCTGCCAGTAAGTCTGTAGAGGGGAAGGGGTGGGGGGAGTGAGTAGGGACTGGGGCAGGTGAGGGGCAGATTGAGGCTCCCACAGTGAGCGAGGGAGTGGGGGAGGAGGAGGGGCAAGGGTGAATGGGACTCCGGGGCTGGGATGGGTCGTGTGACAGAGCTATGGGTGACTCATTTAGGGGTATGGAGGGTTGGCTCCTTGCCACTGCACACATCCCTGGGGGAAGCATAGGAGGCATGTGCCCCCCCATTTGTATGCAGGGCAGAGGCAGGCTGCCTGCTGCAGGCTGGGGCTCTGAGCCCTTCTGCCTTTGCCCCAGGAGCCGCATGCTGGCCATGCATCCCCTGCCTGCCTGGCGATGGGAGGCACAACATGGCATTTCACAAGTCCCAGGGCAAAGGCAGCAGGGTGTGGAGGCACACCCAGCCTGCAGCAGACAGCCCGCTTCTGCCTTGTGCCCAAATTCAGGCATGCCTCCCCCAGGCTGCTGCACAAAGCGGTGGGGAGCTACCTCCCTCCCTGGGCCCCTAGACAAGTCTCCCACGGCTCTGTCACATGACCTGCCCCAGCCCCCAGGTCCCATTCACTCTAGCTCCTGTCCCTGTTCTTGTCCCACTCCCTCCCTCATCATAGGGGTCTCGATCTGCCCCCCCCCACTCCTTCCCTTCCCCTCCACAGACTTACCTGCTGGGTGCTGCTCTACATGCCACTGGGCTGCATTCCTGTAGGGTTACCATATTTCCAGTTTCAAAAAAGAGGACACCTGTTGGGGAGGGCAATATGATTGTGGGAAGGGGTAATGATATGCCTGTGCTCCTGCCCTTCACTCCCAAACCACATACCTCCCCCACCCCCAGCCCTGCTGCTGCCCCTCACTCCTGACCCACAGTACCCCGCATCCTGCCAGGGCATGCAGGAGTCCCCCCTCCCCAGGCTCTAGACTCCCCTTTGGAGACCCCCCTGCTCCCCAGGCTCCAAACCCTACACACACACACACACCCACAGCCCCCCATGCCTTCACAAATTCCCTCCACATACACACACCCCACACCCACCTCCTAATCATACAAAGTACATGCATAATTTTGAGGTTTTAGCTGTGCAATTAAAATCACAATTAATTGTGAGTAATTTTTTTAATAACACAACTAATTGTGATAAAATTTTTTAGTAGTTTGACAACCCTAATGATTTCGTGTCTCAGGCTAGATCAGTCAAATTAGTTCCTAATTGCATCCACTGAGCAGAGCCCAGTCATTCAAGTCCATATAATGTTACTACTGGAAAGTATCTTCCCTCCCAGACTCTTCAGCTTGGGGTTTCAGATACTCTCAAATCTATGGCAGGCATCCTACATGCAGGCCAAAGGAGCAAGCTAGGGAGAAATCCCCCATCTCCATAAAATAAAATAAGCATGTAGCCAAGATCCTCCCACTGGTAGGCTGTAGTAGACACTCATGGGGGGAGTGGGGTCTGTTGGCGGTGCATTGAATAAACCTCCACCCTTCACTACATAACGCCATTCAAAGTGAGCTGACCTTTGAGGGAAAAAAATACCTTCTTTTTAAAATTCTATCACATTTCTCCTGCCTGGTGAAAGATTTATGTGATCTGAAGAGAAACTTGGTACAGCTTCACTTAATGGAGGGTGGGGCCACACTAATCATATGTGACAGGCTGAGAGAGGGAGCAGTGCCCATCAGCATGTTTGCCCCATAGGGGCTATGTGTTTAATAGTTATGCTCAGTGATGGCTGTATTTAATCAACTTTGTTATTGGTTTCCAATGCTAGACAATGTATTTAATAAGGTTGCCTTGTATGTGAATGTAAGTTGAGGGCCCCCCGCCATGCTGACTGAGGGGAAAAAAACCCATCTTACATTTGAGTAAATATGGTGTATTGACAAGTTATCTTCCCAGTTGTGTAGTCTAAATTCTTCATCATCAGCAGCAATCCCTTGCAATCAAGGATGATTGTCTTCCAGAATTGCCTTCTCTGTGGGTCTGAAGATGGCTAATGAGGCTGATCCAGGATTGACAGACTCTGTTGCAACTTGGGCACATGTTTCCGTGCAGGGTGGGTGGCTCTGGATTCTTAATTTGGTCCACAACACACTGTTTATGCTTTTCCATCTCCTGTTGTCATTGTAACATTTCAAAGTACTGAGATCCTAGCAGCGGACTCTTCCTCCATTTGGGGCGGTTGGGTGGTGATAGTCTCTCAGGAGCTGATGTTGATTTTGCATTTTTTCAAGTTGGCCTTGAGGATATCCTTAAAGCACTATCTCTACCCTCCTCTTGAATGTACACTTTGACTGAGCTGGTAGAATAAAACTTGCTTCAGGAATCTGGAGTCAGACATTTGAATGACGTAGCTGGCCAAGCAAAGTTGATGTTGGATGATCATTGCCTTGATGCTCATGGTGTTTGCAAAAGGTTGCTAATGTTCAAGCATCTGCCTTCCCATTGCATTTGAAGGATCTTCTGCAGGCAGTGTTGATGGTACTTCTCCAACAACTCGAGGTGTCTCCTATATATTGTCCATGCCTCGGCTCCATGCAGTAAGGTGGGGACCATGACTGCCTGATAAATCATAAGCTTGGTTTTGGATTTGATGACATGATCTTTGAATACCAATTTCCTCAGGCATCTGAAGACTGCACTTGTACATTTGAGATGACGTTGGATTTCTTTGTCTATGTTGGCCTTCTGTGAGAGACCGTGTCTAAAGTATGGAAAATTCTCATTGTTCTCCAGAGTCTCACCATGAATCTGAATTACCAGACCTGGGGGCTGCTTATTAACAGTTTGTTAATGGAGGACCTTAGTCTTCTGAATGTTAAGTGTCAATCCCATTTTCTTGTATGCCTTGACAAAGACATCAATGAATACCCGAAGGTCTGCTTCCAAGTGAGCACACAACATCATCAGTGTTTTGGAGCTCGAAGATTGATAGTCTAAATTTAGAATTATCAGCAAGGGATTATGTACAAAAAATAGATAAAATCCTAGAAAAATAGGATTGGAAATAATTCAAGTCATCTAAGTCTACCATGTGCTCAAGGCAGAATCATCTCTTTGAAAATCTGAAAACAAATGTTTGTTCAGCCTGCACTTAAATCTCCAATAACAGAGATTCCAGAACCTCTCCAGGTTTTTTCTACCAGAAATGGTAAACAAAATGGATCCTGTTTGTTATGAAGATAAAAAGGCCACTCAAAAGCAAAGGTTGCAAACGACTTCCATTTAAAAAATCTGTATTTTTGCTCCCTGTAATTTTGGCTTAGAAAATTGGTATGGCATGCAAATTTTCATTTTTGTTCAGAAACAGAGAGAAGGATGAATTAGAGTTGGATGAAAAATATGTTGAGAAGAGCTGTGACCTGTGTTTGGAGTCATAGATCACTTAAAAAAAAATCCAGATATGGAAAAGGCCATATTTTAAGAGGAGCTGCAAAGTAAAGCTACTTTTACTTGAGTTTCTTTGGCTGTCTTAAGTTAAGGGGCTAGGTGTCAAATTCTTGGTTTAAATGGTGATAAGAGCATTTCCCCTTCCTTTGCCTGGTTGCCTATCAAAATGAATCCTTGTTAAGTCTTGAAGCTTCACTCCGAGTTGAAAGGACCATAGACCAGGGCTTTATATTTATTTATGATTAAGTTTTTAGTGTATAATTTAAGACACAGCATCTCCTCTATCGAAGAACTGATTAAATTATCCATTTCCTTCCTGTAGTAATCTTGCCCCAATTGTATATTTACAGCTCCCTGAAAAGCTTCTATATTCACAAGGTTGCAACTGGATTCAGCAATATAGCTTTGGACCAGAAAGATATACAGGATCCAATGTATTTGGAAAGTTGCGCAAATGTATTGAAACATTAAAGGCAAATGTGAGTATCTAGAAAATATAAGATGTTACAAGGAAAATTAAAGTAAGGAGAAATGTTTTACTGCTACAGAAGCAGCTGGTTTTGGCTCAAAGCATCAATCCCCCACATTTCATTCAGTGTTTGTGTAGGAGAAAGCCCCCTTTTCCTCTTGCCTGCATTTGCTCTCCCCTCTTTGGATATGTTTTTCCCCTTCTACCTTTTCTTCCTTCCTCTTTCTCTCACTTTAAGATAAGGAATTGAGTTTTAAAATTTGTGTGTGTGCATTTTGTATCTCCCCTTGTATTTTGGTATTTTTATCTATTTGTGTGCCATGGCATTACATTTGTAGCTTATATTTTATACTCCTCACCTTTCAACTATAAATGTGTTTAGTAACAATGTTAACAAGGGCAGGAGTCAAACTGCCACTTCCCTGTGTCAGGCTGGCCCCTGAAAGAGCGAGTGAATCAGTGATTGAATGTGTAACACTGTAGCAGCAGACAGAAATTAACACCTAAGGAAACTGCAGATCAACCAATGGAAGAACTCAATAGAAGACAATGTAACAACCGGGAAATCTCTAAACATCACTGATCAACGGCTAGAAGCCCTGGCCTGAGTTAATCAACGCCAGGGACCGACTTTTGGGCTGAATATCTCCAAATCGACCGCTCCCAGAGCCCTATTCAAAATTCATCAACGGACTCCCAAACCTGCATGTACATGCGGACGACCCCTGGGGCTGACGGAGGCCATCCAGTAGCCACCGAGGGGGGAAGTCCTACGAGGGTCAACGACCCCTGGATTGGGCAAACCTGAAAACTGGGGAGTTACCAAAGTCTGCCAAGGACAGATAAAAAGCAGTGAAAAGTGACCCTCAGCAGCACCCTCTTGATCTTCAACTTGACCAGCACCCAACCTGTCCAGCCAGAAGGACCAGTCAGTGACCCCCTTCTGGAGGATAACACCACGCTGGAAGAAGCCTCGACTGGCCATCGATGGTAGACTCCAGCGCCTGTGGGATAGGTATACCTGACTCTTGTAGCTTGCTTGTGTGTGTGTGTGTGTGTGTGTGTGTGTGTGTGTGTGTGTGTGTGTGTGTGTGTGTGTGTGGGGACCAGCCCCAAGGTTTATGATTTAACTTCATTACAGTGCTTCAATCTGCCTAATAAACCAGAATTTTAAGGATCCTGAGTTGGACATTTGTAGCCAACATTTGGACAACATTTTCTGGATTTCTAGGTCTGGAATTTGAGACTTTGAGATTAAGCCTAAATACTTCCTTGTATTACTGGGAATAGTAATGGTACTAGCCATTGAACTATACTGGTCCTTCTGATAGAGAAGCTGCAGAGGCATGGAGTAATATTCCTTAAAATAACTTGCCAACTAGTAGCATAACTAGTAGGAGTGACCAGGGCACCAGCTCTGGGCATAAGAGGGCACCAAAATGCTCCCTCCTGAGACTCTTTGCCACAGCAGAGGCAGCCTATAGAGGCTGGGCAGGTGCAGCCCTGTATTCAGCAGTGTATCTGGGGAGCAGGGGCAAGCAGAATGGTGTTCTCCTCCCTGGGGAGTCTTCACTGTAACAGGCACAGCCCTGAAACCAGCAGCATACCTGGACACTAAAGGAGCTTGCCATACCTCTGTTGGTGACCAACACAGACTAAAGAGGAACTTGCCAGAATATAAGATGCACCTTCTTGGTGAATTTTACACTAGGAGTCTTAAAATCTCTCCCCCATCAGCATCCTTTCATCTTAGTTGATCCCATAGCTAGAGATGTCCTTTCTCCCCCAAAAGGGTTGTGCTTTTGTTTTTCCCCCTAAGCCCCTGCAGAGTCTCTTAGGCTCTTGGGGTTTTTAAGACACAGCACTTGTTGATTCATCCCTTGAGCATGCTTCTGGGAAAATTGCACTCTTTTGAAGTCCAAGTTTTCCCTGCAGAGAGGTTGAAAAAAAACTGGTTTATTTAAGAAGCAGTTACTTTTTGTTGTTCACAGGTAGAATCTACTGCAATGTTCACAGGCTTTAACAATTGATGTATTCATGGACAGAAATGTTAGCACAATTCCCCCTTCCTGTGCCTGTTCCAAGGCTGGCAGGGAATGCCAGGGAGTACCAGTCAAGGAGAGAGAACCCATCTGCCCACTGCTGCTACAGCTAACCTGGGCTGAGCTCAGCCCCTGTGCCACCCAGATGGAGCAGCACAGGACAGGTGTAAATGTTTATGCTAACAGGTGCTCCCCTCACCCCCCAAAACAGTGTGGATAAGGGCAGCAGCAGGCAGGGGAGGGAAGGAGAGGGGATGTTTCTCTGAACATGGAGTGGAAGGGAGGGTGGGAATTGTTAACTTTTTGGGGGACTTGAAAAAATCTACAGCTGCTGTTTCTGCTGCATGGTCAGAAACAGGGACATGGCCATGTCGCTGCACCCCCTCTGGATCTCCCCCTTCTAGGAGCCATCAGTTTCCAGGTTTCTAAGGCAGCCCTAAACTGATGAGGTCCTGTCAATTTCAAGGCTGCCATTAGAGCTAGAAGTTGCTCTGAGAAATGAGGTAAAGAGCCTTAACAAGGTGTATAACATTTTTCCCATGTTGTTCTGTGTAGTTTATGAGTACTGGTAACACCGAGGTCAGCTAAGTGCAGATATTATGTTTTTCTAGTCCTGGGGCTTTTCTGGTCCTGAGGCTTGACACTGTTATCTTTGTAAAACTAACAATGTGGATTGTAATCGAATAGGGGCGCATAGGGTTATAAGTGCATGGACAAGTTACCTTGGGATGATTGAGGGAAAGGGTTTATGCCGCATCACCTGCTCCACAGAAACAAGCCACGAGCATACATTTGCAAATGGGGAGATGTATTGGGGAAATCTATAACAGTTTAGCTTCTGTTTTCCACAAATTCAGAGCATGCACATGATCAGTTACAACTGAATAGCTAATGTGCTGTAAGCCTTTGTGTTTAGTTACCTTCACCTTCTTGAAATGAAAGGCTTTGAGTTCCATTATTGATCCTTAGAATTCTCCACCCATTTGCATTGTACTTAGGAAAATAGTAACTTACAGTCCAGAGGCCATTCTTTTTGGTTAAAGTACAATTAGTATAAAAAAATAATGTGTATGGAATTCATTTGTAACGAGTCAAAGTGTTGATTTTATTTTTCTTTCTGTATTCATTCCAGTGGACTGAAATAAGTGGAGTGAAGGACAAGGATGAAAGAGGAAACATGTGTAATATCCTTTTCTCTGATGAGAGCAAGGAGTACAAGCTATATGAGGCTATAAAATTCATCATGCTTTACCAAGTCATAGAAGCTTATGAACAGATGAAGAATGGTCAGGGACATGTACCCAGGCTTTTTAGCCTCCTATTTGCTCGTGATACCTCATCTGACCCTTTGAGTTTCATGATGAATCATTTGAATCCATTGGGAGACACTGGTGGACTACAGCAGGTAAAGATGTAACCAAAAAATAAATTCTGACACTTGGTATATTTTGAAAGGGTTGGGATTAGGTAATACCATGATTTACGCTAACTTGGTGCCCCTAACTTACTATACTATAACAACATCTGTGAATAGAAGTGTATTATTTGTTTTGGGGAAAAAAAACTTAAACCAAGCCTCCCCCTTCCATCTCTTTTCCCCCCCCCCGCCCCGAAAAATGCAGTTAAACAGGGAAGAATACTTCTGTGTGTGTCCAAAATAAAATGCCTGATGATTTATCTATACATGATATCTAAAGCTGTGATGCCTCTAGTACTTGTAATACCCTTTACATAACAGCACCATGAATGTTTGATGTTTATTTCTATTTCTTCTATATCTTGAATAGAAATTGTCCAGAGTAGCTGCTTAACATGTATTGGCCCACATAAGGATTATTTCCTGAGAGATTGGTTGTGGAAGCTGACTTTAAGAAGTTGGTACTGGTTGTGAAAATTTCTAGTCTGTTCTTAATATCACCCAAGGAAATATTTTAGACCACTTACCATACTTGAGCTTCATTAAACTATGGGTTTTAGTTGGTTTGTTTTACAGTACAGTCCTTTTCCCCCTCTCTCAGGTGGAAATGATTCTTCTGGGATATTTACTTGAAGTAAAGATAAGAGTTTACAGACTGTGTAAGTTTAATACAGAAGAGTTTCAAGTAAACTATCCAGAGGAGTATCACAGGGAATGGCATGAGATCTATCTTCTGACTGAAGACGACCATCACTATCACATACCTATTATCAGTATATAAGACTGTTTTTTAACTGTATACAGTTCAAGGTAAATTTATCCCGGTAAATTTATCTTCTTGAAATTAATCCCTTTGATTGAAACAGTGAGATTTTTTTAAAGTCTGTGAAAAATAAGATTGACTATGTGTTAACATAAACTTTTATATAATATCTTACTTTCCCATACCAACCACATTTCAGCAGTCTGGATTTAAAAAGCACAAAACACAAAGCCACGCTGACTTCTGAAAGAGTTAAATTAAATTGTGTCACCTGTGGAGGGTCTGGTGGAGAATATTATTACTAGATAGCACATAGTCACTACTTCAATTAAAACCTTTAGAAGTATTTGTGCATAAATCAACACAATTCCAAATGTTACCTACTTTGTGGTTGAGAAGAGTGCTTCCAGTAACAGAACTGAAGCAGATGTGACCAACACAGCAGCCTAGGCATTGCCTGTGTTAGGGGTGGGAGGAGTGTAAAAAAAAAAAAAAAAAAAAAAAAAAAAAAAAAAAAAAAAAAAAAAAAAAAAAAAAAAAAAAAAAAAAAAAAAAAAAAAAAAAAAAAAAAAAAAAAAAAAAAAAAAAAAAAAAAAAAAAAAAAAAAAAAAAAAAAAAAAAAAAAAAAAAAAAAAAAAAAAAAAAAAAAAAAAAAAAAAAAAAAAAAAAAAAAAAAAAAAAAAAAAAAAAAAAAAAAAAAAAAAAAAAAAAAAAAAAAAAAAAAAAAAAAAAAAAAAAAAAAAAAAAAAAAAAAAAAAAAAAAAAAAAAAAAAAAAAAAAAAAAAAAAAAAAAAAAAAAAAAAAAAAAAAAAAAAAAAAAAAAAAAAAAAAAAAAAAAAAAAAAAAAAAAAAAAAAAAAAAAAAAAAAAAAAAAAAAAAAAAAAAAAAAAAAAAAAAAAAAAAAAAAAAAAAAAAAAAAAAAAAAAAAAAAAAAAAAAAAAAAAAAAAAAAAAAAAAAAAAAAAAAAAAAAAAAAAAAAAAAAAAAAAAAAAAAAAAAAAAAAAAAAAAAAAAAAAAAAAAAAAAAAAAAAAAAAAAAAAAAAAAAAAAAAAAAAAAAAAAAAAAAAAAAAAAAAAAAAAAAAAAAAAAAAAAAAAAAAAAAAAAAAAAAAAAAAAAAAAAAAAAAAAAAAAAAAAAAAAAAAAAAAAAAAAAAAAAAAAAAAAAAAAAAAAAAAAAAAAAAAAAAAAAAAAAAAAAAAAAAAAAAAAAAAAAAAAAAAAAAAAAAAAAAAAAAAAAAAAAAAAAAAAAAAAAAAAAAAAAAAAAAAAAAAAAAAAAAAAAAAAAAAAAAAAAAAAAACAGTCACCATCTTGGTGGTGGCTGACCACACCACGGCAATCAACGCTGCAGCAGCCAGCGCTGCTCCGTGTGTCAGTTGCCCTGTATGTGAAGCTGCTATAAATAGGGGCTTCAACTTGCCCAAATCCAGAAAAGCAAAATGGAAGAACAGGAATTAACATTTTACCCAGTATTTATCCCTTATCACTCTACATTTTTAAGGGGTTGATTTCAATATTGCTTACCAAGAGGATATCAAGATTTCCATTACAGTAGGTTTAAGAACTATTCAGTTCAGTATACTTGGAAACACTGCATTTTCATTATATTCATCCTCTGAGCATTACATATGTTTGGCAGAACTTGTACATATTCTAACCTTTTGTATATATCATTTAATCGCTGAGTGGTGTTGTTATGTTTAGTGTTGAGATCAATATTACTTACAGTTTCTGCAGGTCTAAAAAGAGTGCAGTATAGTAGGCAACTTCTCTTCAACTTCTGTGTGTTTAGACAGTTTCCACAAATATTTAATAAAAAAAATCATCTAAGAAAGTAGAAAGATAGTAGTTATCTTTAAAAAGTGAGGATTGCTTCCAGTGTAGAATTCTTAACACATTACTGTCTTTCTAAAAGATGAACTATAGTCTGACCTTTTGAAAAATGAGGGTGCCTAACTTAAATGAGAATTGAAGTGATAACACAGGTTTTTTTAAAGAACTAGGTTTTCTGGACATGGACATTGTATTTAAGCTGTAATTATCTGAGTTACTAATACCAGAACCGAACTAAACCTAGTAATAGTATACTTAAAGAGAAGAATTGTAGTAAATAAGAAGCATCCAACTTTAAAAGATAATAAAACAGTCCCTATAGACACATTTCATGCATCTCTTATTTTCATAGGAAATAATTTACCACAATAACGAAATACTGAATGATGCCCTTAGGAGCAAAACAGATTATATAAAAATGACATTAAACCTTACATAATTGTAGTGCACAGCAAATTTTCTATTCTTTTATGTAAAGAAAAACAACTTTTCCCTTTAATTTTCTTTTATGTATTTGTATGTATACAAAACTTTCTTTTATATATATATTTATAAAACAAACATGAATTGCTCCATTCTTCATTTGTTTTGTTTCCTGAAAGTTCAGGTGCTTTATGTAACAATTTGTAAGCTGTAATTAGAAGTGTTTGATATATGACCTTCTCTTATGTCATCAAAAATCATATCTAATTACATTTTATTTATTAAAAGAAACTTTTTTTTGATTTCAGCATGTTATTCATTTTTGTTTGGTTTTTAATCTTCATAGGGGAATTTGGAGATCACTGCTACTGTTTATTCGTGTTGTTTGTTCAGCACTGACAGTGTACTTAGTCATTATGCACGTGCCTTTTGCCATTCTAATATTACACTCTAGTTACGATGCAGACAGTCATGAAGAAATATCATACTTTGACTTGGGATCTTTAGGAAACATATTTGCCTCTGGTTTATTGCTTTCAGACTGTAGCAGCACCCAGGGTAGCTAGTTTAAAGTTAGTCTGAGTGTGTCTTCATGAGTTGCAGTCACTGCAGTATAAATGTAACCAAGCACCGGAAAAGATGAACTGGTAATAGTATGAAGTGGAAAGTAAATAGTGGCTAGAAGTCCTAGAGTACTCACCTACACCAAAAAAAAAAAAATCTGTAGGTAATGGAAACCACTCCAAATAACTACAGAACCTCTTTCATGTTGTAGTGTAGATTTATACAGATTAACCCAAATTTGGAATTATGGGATATCCCTTTCTCACATAAAGTGCACAAAGCTCTGATCTCTGAAGCAATAACTTTCATAATCACCTCAAAACACTTAAAATGCAAGTAATATCATAAGATTACAGGGGTCTGTGATAGAGAAGATGTATCCTTTTACCTATCCAGTAGATGGCATACAAGATTAAGAAAATTTTGTTTTTCTGGATGCTTCTATTATTTCCTAGAATTCTTTTGTTCTTATGTGACATTGTGAGTTAAAATGTATAATGCTAGCAGGATTATCCAAGGAGTCCTTAATTTGGTTCTTTCTCGGTTTTCCCTTTACTCATTGAACAAGAGTGGTGAGTATCTACAGTCTGCTGTAAACTTGGTGATATTTCTTTAATTTTGAAATTTAAAGTTTATTTTACATTAATTAAAGGGTAACATACCATTCTGTCAGTATGTATAGGATATTATTGTTTACCAGTTTGATTCTAATTATTAAACAGTTTTAGGGTTCATTGTAAAACTAACATCCTAATTCCAAATATTTAGAATACTTTTTTGCTAGTCTAGTATGTTGTTCTAATGAGTCCAAACAGTCGTCTAATAAATTTTTAATCTTAAATTCTGCATTACATGCCTTTACTCAATAATGTGTATTCATTCCCACACCAATAAGTGCTTGTGCTAATAATGTTTTATTCCTAAACTAAAAATACATATCAAAACAAGGTTTTAATAAATACATCCTATACAATCAAGCGCTTCCTACACTAAATTCAAAGTACAATGCCTTGTTTACAAGAAAAGTGATTAGTAGATATGTTTTTAAGTTTTATCAGAATCTAAATGGTGGATTATTTAAAAATTAAACTTAATAGAAAAAATTGTGGGCTAATTTGTTGTTTAGCAAACTTTAAATAGGTACCAAAATTATGAGAAACTAGGAAATTTTCTCAAAAATAAATATGAAAGGTAATTGTAGCTCTAAGGCTTCAACATTTGACTGATAAGCATCATACAAGACTCATCAGTGTGAGCTTTAACACCGAGCAGGATATTTTATTTGCCTTTGTCAGAGGCTTCAATTATAGCTTTCTTTTAAGTAAATGTTAATACAAGAGTTCAAAAGAGATTTATTTTGGAATTAAATATCTTCTGAGGTCCATGGAGTTGCATCTTAATTTTCAAATTTAATACATTATATTAAATCACTGTTTTAGCTATCCAAATTGTGAGAACAAAGATTTAAGTAAAGAAAAGGTCAGAGAAGTAGGAGTGGAGGTTGTTTTTTCTCTTTTGTTGCTTTGAGAGAGAGAGAAATAATGTATTTGTTAATTTATTCATTTTTGCAATATTTGAGAGTTCAAGATGACTGGATGTCTGAAGGAGGAGAGTTGGAAGGTAAGTAAAGTTGGGAAAGTTTGC